TCATATAAAGTTGATTTTAAATTTTTATTATTAATTTGAATTTGAATTTTTGACTTTAATATTTTTGATTTTAATATTTTTAATTTAATTTTTGATTTATTATATTTCTGTAATTTTATTTTTTAATTAATATTAATTCTTTTGTATTTTAGTATAATTTTTTTGATTAATAGTAATTTTATTTATTAATTATTATAAATTTTTAATTTAATTTAATTTTTCTTTTATAGCTTTATCTTTTTGTTAATTATCTTTATAATTTATTTTTATTATAATAATATCTATAGATATTAATACAGATCTTAAAAATCTTTACTAATATTATTTTTTTATTTTAATTAATTTAATTATTCTTTTTTAACTTTTTATACTTTATAGTAATTCTTATTAAAACTCACTATTCAGAATTATTATAATAATATATTCTAAATTTTATAAAAATTAAATCAGTAATTATAAAATTTTAAGATTCAAAGTTATAATTAAATTATTTATTATATAATTTTTATAATAATTTTAATCAAATTTTATATAGTAAATTTAAGAACTAATAATTGAAAAAAGTTATTATTAATAAAAATTTTTTATAAAGATATATAATAAAAAATTTTATATTTAAATAAATTTTAATATCTAATAACTTAATTAAATAAGATAAAATTAAAATTTTATTTTGAAAAATAATTTATTAATATTTATCTGAAATATAAATCTTTGTATATCAGTTTATACTTAAAAATTGATTTTTTGATTTAATAAAAATAAGTTTTAGTTTTTTGAATTAAATAATTATAATTATTATAAATAAATAATATTAAATTATTATTATAATATTTTAGAGTTGTATAAATATTAAAAGAGTAAGAAATATAAAAAATCAATAGACTAATTATTAGCTGTTTTAATATCAAAAAAATAAAATAATATTATAAAGACAAAATGTAATTATGTAAAATAATAATATAGTATGAAATAAAAAAACTGTAATTTTTGATTTTCTCTATAAATATTTATTTAAATAATATAAAAATTAAATATATATACTTGTAAATATAATAAATAACTTTACTTAAGACTACTTGAATATTTATTTTATTAAAATTTTTTATAATTTATATTTTTATATTAAATATTTAATAATAAAAAAAACTTGAAAAAATTATTATACTTAAATTTGATTATAATTTTGCAAATTAATTTAAGTAATCTTGTTTATTAATTATTAAGCATATATATTTAAAATTTTATATAATTTTAACAAATATTCATTAAATATTAAAAAAAATTAAAAATTTTTTTAATCAATTTTTTAAAAAAAAATTAATAAAAAAGTATTAATTATAGAAAATTTTATTAAGATAAGCTATTAAATGCTTTTAAATAAACTTATTCACTAGATTCTTAAGCATATATATTTAAAATTTTATACAATTTAAATAAATATTCATTAAATATAAGCAAAAATAATAATTCTAGTTTTTTTATTTCACTTTGTATATTATAGTTTATTAGTTAATTATTTTGGTTTTAATTTATAATAGTTCAATAAAAAGAATTCTATCATTAAATAACATTCACAAGACTAATTAATTACATGGAATACTAAAAGATTAATTAAATTTTTGTTTAAATAACTTTTCACCAAGAGATTATTAAAAATCTTGATAATAGTAACATTAATGAGTATCTTCTATCTCATGTTGATTATAGCAAGATATTCATATCTTGCTCATTATGATAAATTATAACTCTGACATTTTTTATTATTATCCAAATATAGATTTACAAAATTCACAACTCTGATTACTCACCCAAAATCCAAAATCTAGAAATTAAAAAACCCGTGATTTTAAAATCTATGACAATCAATATCAACTTTTCCCAAATTAGAATATCAAATTGAACTTTTGTAATATCTAATTCACAAGATAATATATATAACTTAAATATATATTTACAGAGACATGTATATGTTATGCTTCGGATCATTTCTTGTGTCAGATCTCGCTTGGCCAAAATTAAAACAGGGGTTTTATTGAATTTAGAGTTAACGTAGGATTAATTCTGAGAAGATAGATTAATGTTGGCCAAAGGGAATTACGTGAAACTGCATCTGAAGCAAGTTGGCATCTGAGATATAACATATATGCCCGCGATAGACCTCTTCCCTCTTAAATTACGTAATAAACTGCATGCCCCTAATACTGATGTTGTATAATTGGAAGAAACTGTTGAGGCCAAACAAAGAAACAAACTTCATAATAAATGAAAAAGAACAAATGAAAATAAACCTGGGAGAAATAAAGGATTGAACGAATGCCGAAGAAACTAAGCAAACAATTACTAAACTATGGAACGAACAACAACGCTGAGAGATTATGCAAAGTACCTGGAGTAAAATCATCAGTTACAACTTTTGGAAATTTAAAAACTTTTAATAAATTATATGATCATTTGCGAATTGCAGAAGAAGTCTTTTAGACGCCCTATGCAAGACATATAAGACTTTTCTCACCAAATGGACTTTCACCAGCTACAATTTGTTTCTTTTACAACGCTCGCAAAATTTATTGCCAAACCTTATTTTTAGACATAAAGTGTATTTAAAAGTTACTAAATCTCGAGTTGGAAATCAGCCCAATAAGTAGCCTATAAACAATAAGTGAACGTGATTTCAAACAATATCTTGAAGTTTCACAGGAATGGCTTGGAATAAGGTACTAATATTTTTAATAATAAATTTACATCATTCATGAACAGTATTTGGTATCTTAGGTCCTAATATGCATATAGTTTATCTAATATGAGGCTTCTATCGTGATTCAGCACAGAATGGTCGATACCAGTTGCAATCTCGTACATGCTCATCCCAAACTTGCAAATTGTCCACTGCTTAACGTATAGTTTCCATTGTGGATTTCTGAAAAGGTATTCTTGGTTAAATTGTTATATATGATGCTCATAGTGCATTACGTAATATGTTTCAGGGCAAACTCATGATGTACAAATCCCCCTTGATGTATTATATACGATTCGCCGATAATATAACCTAAATTTTTTATTTCAACTTAAGATCTTCAATTTAAAATTAAAAATTTATTAGTGAAACGTATCTGCAACTTAGAGAGCCTGAAACTGTTTTTAAAACTTGATTATATAATAAACAAAGAACATCATGACTACACTTGAGCTTGTTTATTTTTATGTGCCTTGAATACTTTAATGCTTTAACTTATCCAATGGATTAACACAAAACGTGTAAATCGTTTTACCCCTTCATTTATACATAAATACATTCATATTCTCCACGTTCTCATTTGTTGCAATCATTACATTCATGCTTTATAAATTCTTTCCAGCACAAGATTTGGAAAATTCGAGATATGGATAACGGTAACTAAATTTGTGCATGTACTAGCTTTATTTTTACTATAAAAAGGGAATACATGTACATGTAATATTTAAAATTTCTGCGCGGGGACTGGTCGCACAGATAATTTTTCCAACAATCAGATTTTTCGCATATGGTTTTCGTGCATCAAGTGTGGAGACATGATCGAGATAATCCTGTAATTAAAAAAAAGGGGGGGTTTAGATAGAGTTTTGATATCTGTTTTGTACAGTATATATTAAAGAAAAAAAGGTAGTTACATATACATGAACATGTAATATGCTAATTGTGAGGACTTTTGCGCATTTTTGAAATACGTACGCACATATGATTTGTACGAAGACACTTCCGTTAAACCGTCCGTTTAAACCGAAACACTAATTAAAATTTGATAAACCGAAATTTGTCCCAAGCACAGTTATTAGTAAATCTATCTCATTAAGCCGAATCTACTAAATAAATCTTGATAAACTGAATTTTTCAAAATTTGACATAACGGGAGATGAACTGTATAAAATGTCAACTACTTTCATAATTTAAATTTCGTGCAGAAAATATCAAATTCAAACGTTTGCTTAGCAATATTGATGACAATGCATCAGTATATTGAGATCGGCATAACTAATTCCGAATGTATGCAACAGAATTTTACCGTTACATGTACATGAACATGTAAAAAGATGATCTAAAGAAAAGCATGTGATTGCTGATCATTTAGTACATGAAAAATTCATTTTGTTGGGATCGAGTTTAAATAATCCAGTTCAGAATGGCTCCTGATCAACCAAATCCACATCACTTTCCTAGTCGTTTTTCACTAATCAAATTATAATCCTGTTTCTAATATAATACCCTGACTAATCAAAATATATTATGCTTCAGATTGGTTCTGATTCGTTAAAAACATTCTTTAGTAAGAAAAGGTATTAGCTGTGAAACAATTCAAAAGTAGTAATGACGTTAGCCGATCAAACGTATTCAAAAAATAAGTACCCAAATAGTCAAATTTACTACCATTTTATGCTTATTAACGGCAGGCATAGCTACAAGTCCTTATTGTAAGATTTCGAAGTATTCTATAATATAATGATAAGGTTTTTCCGAAAATTTAAAAACACATATTCACGTAATTTAATATTTCCTTTATGATGCAAGGATTGTGTACACGCAAGCGTGTACAAACTAAAGAATTCATTTTGAACTTATCTAATTCTGCTTGTTGAGCTTTTCTTTGCTGTAGTTTGAATTGACTTATTGAAATTAACAAATATGTCAATATGCCCGGAGATTCTTATGAACAATCTAATTAGCTTGGAGGTTTGTGAGCTCTAGCTTATTCTGAATCTTTGTGATTTATTCAAATTAAACGCAATAACCCTGACTTCGTATATGTACAACTTATTTTGTCAAACAACGAATACACCACTGAGAGTAAAAGTTTTTTATATTTTTTCCATTCCGAATATAGTACAGAATGCTTATTTATAGCTACCAATATAGCAATTAGAACAAAGGTTTAAATCTAAAAAAAATGAAGAATGAAATAATAAAAAAATAAGACATAAATAGTGCAAAGTTCTCATTTCACGTTAACTATTAAAAATTCAAAATGTCCAAACTTCGTCAAAATAAAACCACTGGCTCAACTTTCTTAAATACAAATGAAGAATTAATTCTTAAAAAAATTAATGTACCCTCGCCATATGACATAAGTCTTGCTCAAGTTTTATTGAATTTTGAACAAGCAGTAGATGACACCATTAATATCCCAAAGAAGCCCCCAAACAGCTTTATCTTATACCGAAAAGCTTTCTATCATACATTGATTAGCAATAATATTCGTCTTTGCGCGAGTAAAGTTTCGAAAATTGCATCAAAAAAATGGAAGGCTGAATCCAGTGCAATTAAAAAAGAATATGAACGAATCGCTGACGAAATTCGTGAATGTTCACCAAAATGTCTATATTCTCGAAAGAGGTCTAAAGATAAATATAAATGGCATATATATAATAATAACTCTGATTTCTTAAAAAGAAATAAAACTTGTAAGTTAGGAAAGATCAATTCAAACCAAAAATCTTCTACTCGAAATCGTTCAACTTCAGGTGCCCAAGATTCGGCATCCTTTCTATTAGCAAATGAGAATGTCAAAACTTTTATTCCATCCACACCAACTGAAACTGTCAATCAAGAATTTGCTGCATTCCGATTGTTTAACAAAAACCTTGCAACATACAATAATGATAGACAATTTTCTGTAAATTCAAAAAAACAAATTCAATCCCAGTTAAATATTGAGTTTACGGGTCGATTATCAACTTTAGATTATGAAACTTCTACAACAAACTTACCGATGAATGATCCGGAAGATTTTGCATCTTTACCATTAACGATTGAAAACGATTTTGAGATTTCGACAATAAATATATTAGGAGAATT